GGGAGGAGACACCATACACAATGGACACTATAGTTTTTTATTTGATTGATTCCCCTTTTTCTCTAAAATAAAAAATATTTCTGGGTTTTTTAAAAAGCATTTGACTTCAAGCAGACGTCCGCAACTTTTATGCGGCTAAAAGCCTGAATATTCTTCCAGTCCATCTTACTCTTTTTACAAAGATCAGCAACTCATGACGATTAGAGCTTGCCTCCTTATGCGCGACGGTCGCGCATAAGGATAAATAGGCTTAGAAAGACACATTTCAAATGATAAATATGTTTTTTTAGCAGGGAAATCGGATTTCTGGGTCATAAAAATACGTCATTTCTTTTCCAAGTTGTCAAACAGCATGTTTTTTCGAGCAGGTTAATGTGCACTGTTGAACAAAGAATACATGTCATTCTTGTTTTTCTTTGAACTTCAACCCAAAGTCAACCTCACAGGGTGAGTGTTTGGCGGGTGCTTTGATGGGGTTTGCTCCTTCGTTCCTATCAAACGTCTATCGTCTTCATCTCTCCTCTTTCTTTTTTGTGTTTGTTACTCTTTTGTAACTCATACATTTATTAACTAGGTATGTTGCAAGTGCCGTAAAAACTCTTATCAAAACGAAAAAAAAATTATGAGAAGCTTGGGGTATACCAAAAAGAACAAAACCTTGTTCAAGTTGTGATCGATCGGTCAACGGAAGATTTGACCGAAACATTTTTCTCAAGCAAGGAACTACTAAATCTTTCTCGAGCAAGGGCCTAAGATAATTACCATTTTGCCAGCTTTTCATGAGCACGACTGTTGTAATCACTGCTAGAACGAACCCGATTGAAAATCGGCAAGTTTAAAAATTGAAATTTGGACATGCGGTTTGTCACATAGCATGATTTACATGTATATCTATAAAATCAAGCGTGATATTTATCTCAATCTTTAATTGTATTCCATGCTTAAATTTTGAATTTTGCCCGGAGCCTACTCTTATCGGTTTTAGACCACAAAGGGATCTACAACGAGCGCAATTTGCACACGGGTCCTCCGAGATTTTTCGCCCTTGTCTGAGAAGGCTAGGTGTAGATGTTTCCTACCAGAATATCAGGGGTGTGGTTGAAAGACAGCAGTAAGAAGGAGAAAAGGAGTAGCAGTAGAAAGACTACAGAAAGAGTCAGGAGCCCAAAGGAGGGGGGCAAAGGAGATGAGGGGGTAGGGGTAGAAAGTGGAGACGAAAGCACACGCCAGAGAGCAGGAAAAGAGGTGAAAAGAAACAATTTTAGAAAAGAACATTCGGTCGCTACCCGGATTCGAATCCGGGACCTTTGAATGAGAGGACAACACATGAACCTCTTGGACCTCTAGGCCACGAGAGCCCCCCCCCTTCTCCCCGCCCCCCTTCCCCCCCGCCCCCGCCCCCGCCCCCTAAAAATATTTAAACCTTGGTGTATATAAAAACTTTTTGACCTTAGTATTATTGAATACATCATAACCGACTAGTACAAAAAGTAACCACGAGATCAATGTTAAACGCACAAGAAGTACACAGCCGTCTGTTTTCCTTATTATGACATAGTCATATCATTACAATGCTGGCTTTCCTTGTTACAACGGGTTTGTGAGCTTAATCCCTCTCATCCCGTTATTTCAGATCAAGTTCCATAAGTAATTTCTCTCGTTGACACCTAATACAAGCGGGAGAGTTTAATCAGCTTTGCTTGGGGGATTTGGCAACACTGGCCGATTAGTCCACTTAGTTGTTTAAAGTGCGGCGCAAGAAAGCGAGAAACCACTCTCGTAGAGACAGAGTGGTGATTATGCCAAGTTGGTAAACGCTTAGTCCTGTCAGGCAGTGGGTCACTTTGGAGCTAATACTGGTGTTCTATCGGCTTGCAGCGATGATTACAGTAACTTATATTTCAACTGGACATACAAAAATGTGTAAGTGGTGTCTCTTTTCACACTATGTATTGGTTATCCCTAGCCACGTCTTTTAAATCAGCGCTTTTTATATCCCCTTTTTGGTAAAAGTCTTTGCCAGATGTCAAAACAGAAAAAAATAATATAATCTTGCGTTATAGAGTTAGATCTATACAAAATACGCGCTCACCCCCATCCACCCCACCCCTCAAAAAAGAAAAAAACAAAAAGAAAACCAACCAACAAATATTTGTTCCACTTCATGGAAAGGGGTAGGGTGGATTAGCTAAAAGGAAATCGAAATGTTGATATCACTTCAAAGTGATCGAAACGGTTGGTAAGGGTAAAGAAACTGTTTCTTAAACTTGAGACGCATGTGAAATAGAGGTGTCCACGCTTTCTCTTTGAAACCATGGGAGGAAGTGCGTAATAACAAGAGCTTGTAGATCACTACAGATATTAATTAACTGCAAGTAGTCAAGTTTGCAATACTTATCAGCTTCCGAAATCTTGTAGTTTTATGAATTTAAATGCCCCTACGAGTTATAGATTTCACAGTGAACATCATCCCAGAGCTCATTCTGTTTGGAGTTTTATCACAATGTCTTCGATTCCTAATCAATGCCGACTCTTTGCTGTCTAGTACGTACACAGAATATTACTATGCTAAAAATGGTGTTAAGCATTGTATCATTAATTAGTTGATGGTTCTGGTTTGGTCCAAAATAAATGTACTTTAAAGGCTGTTGTAAGTCGATCAGATACTTGGATATCTGCATAACATTATGTAACGTGCAACTATTATAATATACATCATTCACGCTTCAATCTTTCTATAATTTTGTGTTGCTGTTTTAACACCCCGTGACAAAGTAAAGAGCTGAACTTTATTATCACCAGGAATGACATCATGGTTCTCCCGTCAGTCTCTTTTTCAACCGCGTATTGAAATGTGGTCATGGCCACTCCAAACCAAACATGTGCACCCCTTTTTTATTTCTTTTTTTTAAAAGAAGTATATTCTGACCGAAAGATAAATAAAGTCACTGTTCTCATGATTTCGTTCCTACGTCAATGTAACAACGAGTGAAAAACATTTGAGGTTTTTTTCTATGAGCCAACTACTTTCATCATCATAGCCTTTCTCACCCTGCACCAGGGTATAGGACACGGATAAACAAAACGCCTTCCACCTTTCTCTATCATGGGCTAGCCTCTTGATGTTATCCCATGTCTTCCCACTTTTCTGTACATCGATTTCTGTGATTCTTCTCCAGGTTCCACGCGGTCTTCCCCTTGATCTCTTACCCTATGGATTCCAATCCAAAACTTTTTATGTTATGCAGCTGCCTGACTACCTGAGAGTAGGCCTATGTCCAATCCATCGCCACCGCCTTCTTCCTACCTCATCTCTGACTGGGATCTGTCTTGTTTTCCTTAACACTTCCACATTGGAGACCCTGTCTGTCCATCTGATCCAACAACTTTACATTAGATAAGTGTGTGGAGCTAGAATACAACTTCAGCTGGAATTGTTATTTTTTATGATAAAGACCAACAGAATGTAGTTTTGAAGGTTACTGTATTTCAATAATTTATGAAGACACTGCAAAATACAACTGTTGTTGGTAAACATAACCACTTGTATAATTCCGTCGATTCAGAATTTAGAGAAACTGACATCAGCTTTAACAACAGAAACGCTTTTTTACTTGTAGTATCGCATTTTGATGGCAGAAAAAGATGACTACAGCATATTGATTTCAAGTAAGATCAAGTACAGAAAAGTAACTAAGTTTATCAGCCCCATAGAGGCGGCAAATTCACTTATCCAGTGTCGTAATTAGAATTACATGGCTGGATTTTCTCACTACAAAATCATTAATTTTGTTGATGTTCAAAGGGTATCTATTCTGAAAGTAACACGAGCAGGTCAAATTACTTTTCAACAGGTCCTAAAGGGTTTTTGGTACTTTTGAATAAACACTAGAACCTAGTAAACACAAAAAAACCTAGAAGCATTTCATATTTTATAGCCGTTGTTTTTTATTTCTTTCATTTATTCTCCAGAAATCTACTAAAGGTGGAAAAGGGCTTCTTCCTTAAACGCCCCGAACACAGAGTACTACATGAATGCTTTGTCAAAAGCTGCGTATATGAACTATTCAAGCATGGGAAAGTGAGAGTAAGACAGGGAACGCATCTTTAAAAGACAACCAAAGTTCCAAGAACTTTCGTCTACGCAGCCGCCTAGTTTAAACTTTTTCGGACAAGTCAGAAAAACCTCCCCAACAAATATGTTTGATTTGATCATCTACGTGGCAGTGCCGTGTGGAGTGGCTCTCCTCATCATCACTTCTATCATCATCGCTGTCTGCATCCATGGATGTCCTGCCTGGTGTCCCTGCAGTAGGAGAAAGGCTGGGGAAAAGGATGTGGAAAAAGGTCTGGGGAAAAAGAAGCCAGCTGCCAAAAAGGCGGCGGGAGCAGTAAAGAAACCAACGAGACCTCCGAAAAAACCGACAGATGAGAAAGCAGGCAAAAAGGCCAAGGATGAAAAGACTAACAAAAAAAGTGATAAGGAGGAGAAGCCCGCAAAGAAAGCTAAAGAGGATAAAAAGGGGAAGAAGGAGAAAGACGATAAACAGGGGAAGAAGGAGAAAGACGATAAACAAGGGAAGAAGGAGAAAGACGATAAACAGTGGAAGAAGGGGAAAGACGATAAACAGGGGAAAAAGGATAAAGAAGATAAAAAGGCGAAGAAAGAAAAGGAAGCTCAAAAGGTTAAGAAGGAAAAAGAAGATAAAAAGGGAAAGAAAGATAAGGACAATAAGAAGGATAAGAAAGATAAGACCACACCAGATAAAAACAAGGTAGGCGCAGCTAAAGCAGCCTCCTCGAAAATAGACACTGGTTTGAAACCAACTGATCAAAAGCTCGGTGCTGCCAAGACTAAAGCGGTGGCCGTGATGGCTTTCAAGAACAAACCCGCTTCCAAATTGCCTGTGGGTGTGGGCCCCACGTCCGCAGCTAAGATTGGCATGAAGACGTCTGGTATGGGAATGTCTAAAGTAGGTTAAAACTTTTGGACGTCGTCCTGGGGCGGGTGGGGGTGGGGGAGCCTTTTGAGAACAGGGAAACAGAACAATAACCATTTGTATGTAACCAACGCTAAATAATAACTGTCCAGCAAAGCAATTCAAATTCAAGTAATATGTTTTCTTCCAAAATGATTTCATACTATTTTTTTTACATCGCAGTGGTTGGACTGACTTTCTGACCAGTCGAAAAGGTGTGAATCATGAAAGCTAGTGAAGATCAAATGTTTGTAAATATTTTTTTAATGTTACATTATCATGCAATTCTCGTCCAAAAATGTCCCCCTGAAAGAAAAGTTGGTAACTAATTATTCTGGTGTGAAATGACACCATCATGGCGTTAAGACTGAGAAAGAGAACGGTGCCAAACTATTAAAAAATACAAAGCAGGTCCTTGTAGCTATCCGCGGATAGCAAAATGTGAACATGTACAAGAACTGTATTTTTGAAAAATTCTTGTCTTAAATATTCTTCGTCTACCTTGTAATGAACAAAGTTTTTCAAAGGCTGTCATTGGTGTGTCAGCTAGGCGCTTCGTTGTTGCATGCATACAATATGAGTTTGATTCTTGTGAGTGGAAGTTTTGAGGTGGGGGTTTTTTTCAAGTAATTTCGTCTCCTTGCTTGGACAATGTGTAACTCTAAACCTTGGTTGGCCCTAACCAGACAGGGTCGAAGCAGCACGCCTCCTAAATGATCCAAATGGTATCGATGGAGTCATACAATATGCACAATCACATTGAGAATTTACAAAGCCATCTTTCTTTATTACATCGAGAGAATGCCTGAAACAAACACAATGTTTATTTGGAGAGACGTTGCTACATATTTCGAGCACGGACTCTAGTGCAGGTTTATACTCTAAAGTAATATGTGCTGAGCTTTAAGCTCAGAGTTTTCCATAATTAAAATTACATTGGACTCTGCCCGATACCCTTTTCTCTCCACAGCCATTCCTTCTTGTCCTCCAAAAACAATGATCTCGTCATCAGTAAGAATCATTGTGGTTTTTTTTACTGTGTATATAAACGCAACCTTTCTCAATGTTATGTGTACATTAATACGTAATCTGTAACGTAAAAATGTTTTTCACTAATTCCATGTACATATTATACACACAGTCTTACACTGTCGAACACCTACCTGTCCAAGACTGTCAACTGTACAAGCCGCTACATGCCACATCCTGCCATTTTGTGCATGTGTGTGTGTGGGGGGGGGGGGGAGGGTTGTTTTTTGTTTGATAGTTTGGCGGTTGTTTTATTTTGTTGATGTTTTGTTGTTGTTGTTGTTGTTGTTTTGGGTTTTTTGTTTTGTATCGTTATTTTTTGGTTTGTTGTTTTGTTTGTTTATTGTTTCGTGGTTTTTTTTTGTGGTTTTTTTTTTGGGGGGGGGGGGGGGGTTGCATATATGTATTACGATGGCAGTGACCAAAAGGACCGCCTGTCTCAGATTACCGGTTTTCTCCTCCAAAATAGATGGTCATTGTGAATAGGTTCCTTTTTATCTTTCTTTTTATATTATTTTTTGTAAGTGTTTTACAGCTCTCGCAACTGCATACGCTCTTAGATTCTACGAGCACGCAGACCACTTTAAGTGTTTTAGGTTTGGTGTTTTAGGGCGCTCGCAACTGCATAATATTAGGGTTATATGAGCGCGGGGGACACATTAAGCATTTTCAATTTCGTAGGAATACATTTTCAATTTGCCCGGGTGGCGGCTGAAACCTACTCTTATAGATTTTAGGACTACCAAGGGATCGTTAAAGAACGCAACCTGCACACGTGACGTCCAAGAAATTTTCACCCTTATTCAAGAAGGTTAGGTGTTAGATCTTACCTACCCTAAGATAAAGGGCGTGGCTGAAAGACAGACGTAAGAAGGAGCCAAGGAGTAGCTGTAGAAAGGCAGCAGAAAGAGCCACGAGCCCAGAGGAGGGGCAAAAGGCGAGAGGAGGGGGGCGGCAAAAAGTGGAGACAAGAACAGACGACAGAACATGATTAGGAAGTAGGAATGCTTGAAGGAGAACACTTTTAAGGCATGGAAATTATCCGTCGTTGTCAGATTTCGAACCCTGGGGCGAACCCTGTACCTCCAGACAACGAGAGCCCCTGGAATATTGTGTGTGTGTTTGTGTGTGTGTGTGTGTGTGTGTGTGTGTGTGTGTGTGTGTGTGTGTGTGTGTGTATGTGTGTGTGTGTGTGAGGTCTGTGTGTGTGTGTGGTGTGTGTGTGGTGTGCGCGCGCGTGTGTGTGTATTGTGTGTTTGAAGGTTACCTGTTGTAATGACTTCATAAGAATGTCTTTCTTTCTTTCTTTCTTTCTTTCTTTCTAAGCGGTATTCATCCACTGCGAGATATAGCCGTTCTATAACGACCTGTATTACTATCATGTTATAACTTATATCAGGTTTTTTCCATGTCCAGGTTGCACCCATCCTCTCTTTGATGTCGTCCTGCCATCATCGTTCTTGTCTCTCTCTAGATCTTTTTTCCCTGTTCTTGGTCTTTATCTTCGCCTATCTCGTGTTGTGGCAGACCGTTAGGGACCAACTAATAATAATAATAATAATAATAATAATAATAATAATAATAATAATAATAATAATAATAATAATAATAATAATAATATAAAAAAATAATAATAATAAATAGCATTTGTATAGCGCATATCGCCGCTCAACAGCAGGCTATATGCGCTTTACACTATATTATTACCCCAGCA